GGATCGAGAGATAGAATGGAGAAGACTCTGTAATCAGGTATGAAAGGCAAGAGCGAAGGAGAGGGAACTGCCAAGAATGGTTCTGGGGTTTAGCGTTTTGATGGTAACGGTAGCTCCTGAATGCTGGGACTGGGCTTCCTACCGAGGATTTTGGGGGAATTATTTCACATGCTGTTCAGAAATACTTCCAAGACAGCTACCACCACGCCACAGTCAGACAAAACCAAGGCTTGGGGCAATGAAATCACTTACCCTCAATCAGAAAACTGTGAAATTGTAAATAATGGTGCTTTTTACTACTTCAATTAACTCCTTTTACTTTGTTGAGCATTTCTTTTTAAAAAGTATCCAAGTCTACAGCCAAGCCACCCTGAACGTGCCCGATCCCGTCTGATCTCGGAAGCTAAGCAGGGTCAGGCCTGGTCAGTACATGGATGGGAGACCACCTAGGAAGACCAGGTGCTATAGGCGTAAAAAATAAAAATAAAAAATAAGGGATTGTAAGCAGACAAAGTCCTTGCAATCTGTGAGGTCAACCAAGACATTCCTTGTCTAATAAAAAAAAAAAAAAAAAGAAAAGAAAAAGAAAAAAAAGCCAGGCTGTAGAAAGAAAGAGCAGTGTGGACAAAGATGGTAGTGACAAAGGACTGCAGAAACAAGCGAGGAACGAGGTTCCCACTAAACACCACCTAGCCACCTCCAAACACAGGAAGAATGAGGAGTGTGCCTTTCAGGAAAATGGAGTTCCTGAGCACAGGAGATTATCTATGGGAGTGCTGTCTTGTCTTCGGTAAAAATCCCTGAGCTAGTTATTTCTGGAAAATTACCAGAGACTTCTAGGGAAGAGAAGTCCCAAACTCTCATTTTTTTTTTTTTTTGATTTATAGGGAATAAACTTTCCACTGCTTACTCCAGATCCATTCCCCCTCTGCGAAGCCTAGATCCAAGGCTCAGACTGAAAATGAAACCAGCCAGAAGAAATCCAAATTATTCTCTAAATGTTTATAATTCCCACAAGTGAACAACGGAGGGCAGCAAAGAGCCAGAAAGGAAGGAGAGTCCACACAAGAGCCCAGAAATGGTGGAAAAGAGATGAACTAGGCTTGGGAAATCATATTACAGCCCCACAGTACCCTCTGTTGCACTTACCATGCTGTATTGGAATTGAGTATCTTCTCTCATAGATGGGGATTCCCTGTGGAAAGATTGTACCTGTCTGGTTCATTTCTGATTCCTTAGTGTCAATGCGGGGCACATAGTAGGTGTTCAACAAATACTTGTCAAGTGAATGGGTGAATGGGGCAGGTGCAGATGAGACTGTCAGCCTGATGTGGTTAGAAGACAAATGTGTTTTAGGATATCATAGTGTGTGGGAAAGAGCACTGGTTTGGGGAGCGAATTTAGGCCAGTCTTTGAATCTGGGCTGTGGGTGAGGTACCTAACATTTCTAAGCCTGGATTTTCTCCTCCGTAGAAAGATTGTTCATCAGGTCAGTTGTGATGAGAAAATACATAAAACATGTCTAGCACAGTATCTCATACACAGGAAACAATATAAAGTAGGCATTGATATTTACTGTAGTATTACTGTTACTATTACTGCAGCCTCTTCTCAGGGTCGGGCACCAGAGGAGAGGGGAAAGAATCATTAACAGTAGGAAATAAATTAGAGTTAAGACTTGGAATCACTACTTCCTCAGTTCAGTTACGCCCCCCAAACAGTGCAGCAATAGATCCAATAGAAGGCCACAGTGGAATCAGCCACTTCTAGATTATAGTTTGTTTGTTGTGTGGAGGAGTAGGGCAGGGGATAGCTACTTGGTATTTTCCATGTCAGCCAAGTCTAGCTCAGCTATCTGACAGATTGTTTTGGAAACCTCAGAGCACAAACAGGTTTAACTAGTAACCATACACATTTGGCCAGAACTTGCATTGCACACCTCAGAAACCGACAACAATGAGTGGTGGGAGTCTGAAGACCTGGGACAGCTGCCTGTCTGGTTCCCTTCAGAATAAGTCTATCTCTGAGACTTAAATATTATTAGGAAGATATTTTCTGTGCCTCAGGGGACAGACAAGAAAAATGGCACGGATCTCCTGGCTACTGGAACTTCAGACTTCCCTTAGAGCTCACAGAGGAAAATAGTGCATTTAAAGCAAATTAAAATAAATTCTCTTTGTGTGAGAGTCCAAGTGTCGGCACATGGTAAAAACACTCTCAAAGAATATTTAGACAAGTCCTAAAAGTCTTAATTGATAGAAAATCAGGGAAAGGGGTCAAATCTCTCCACTGGTAGTAGACGCCATGGACAGCAATAGTGCCCATCCTCCAACATGTCTCTAGGTTGACTGATCTTTGAGAATATCTCATACCAGAAGTTCTTAAGGTTTGCCAGAATTCCTGAGTTAGAGGAAGCACCCTTCCAAACTATCTTCCAGTGGGCTCAAGAGTCCATGTGGTCTCATGTCATTTTTAATGTGATAGAAATGAAACACTTTCTGCCTGGGGTGAGGAAGGGAGGGTTGGTCTCCCAGAAGTCTCAGCTACCAAAATAAAGAGGCTGGTAGCTAAGATTAGAATAGAACATATTCCAGGTATAGGCCCTTCAGGAAGGTAAGAACACTGAGAAGGAGCTGCTCGCACACTTAGTCTAGCAGAGATAGGAACTTCCCTTCCCTTTTGTCTACTACACCAGCAGTCCCCAACTTTTTTGGCACCAGGGACCGGTGCTCCTATGAGAATCTAATGCCTGATAATCTGAGGTGGAGATGAGGTGGTGATACTAGTGCTGGGAAGTGGCTGCGAATAGAAATGAAGTTTCGCTCACGCGCCTGCTGCTCAGCTCCTGCTGCGTGGCCTGGCTCCTTACAGGCCACAAGCTGGTACCAGTCTGTGGCCCTGGGGTTGGGGACCCCTATACTACACAATAGATGGGGGGATAATTTAAGGGATACTGTGAAGTCACAAATCAACTTCCTCTCTAGGCTGCTTCTACCAGGTTACTGGTCTCTCCCTCATGACCAAATGAAGTTTTCCAGTGGTTTATTTTACACGGAGATTGATGCTCTTTCACCTGCTTCTTCCCTCAATCCCATAATCCTACAATCCCTGGACTTCTTACCCCTTTCAATATCTTCTTTGGTTCTCAGAGGATGGTTATAATGAGCAAGAGCTAAGATCCCTCTCTTGAGAGGGCTGAGTGCTTCCTTCTCACCTTCTACCCTATACTGTGCACTGAGGCAAGGTGAAGGCACAAGCACAAGTGAGTGACAGAGTGTAGGCGGTTCCATGCAAAACCAATCTACTAGAGGAAGAGAGGTAAAGGCCTACGCCCTGGGATAAACAGTCAGTGCATCAAGCTCACCCACAAAGGATGATTCTGGAAAAAGCCGCCAGATTCTTAGCAGGCCCCGTCCATGCCCATTTCCTACTGCCTGGTGTCTGGCATAAAGCATGCTGTGGAAACACATTCAGGCAGCAGCTCAAGATCCTGGTAGGCACCCAAGAGGTTTTGACTCCCCCAAACAGAAGGGAACAGCTAGGTGTGGTGGTGGCACAGGACTGTGGTTCGCTGGCCTTACCTCCTTTCCAAAGCAGGTAGATGGGCACCACGTACAGCATAACATGTTGAATGTAGTAAATCTCCAATTCAAATGGGAGCTGTAAGAACAGGAGGGAGAGGTGTTTCAGACCAAGAAGCACTCATTTCAACAGATTCTGAACTTGAATGCCCTTGTTCTTTAGGACCAACATCTTAGCAACCCCCATGCATTTCACCAGTTCATCTCCTTTTGCAATCAGACAAAAAAGACCAAAATGTACTTGTCACAAAGGCCAGCATCTTCCAAAGTGTATTTTGCAGAGATAGTACTTGAAAAATGTTCCACTAAGAAAGTTGGTTAAGAATGTAAGAAATGTTGCATATATTCCCTTGGAATTTACCTTGTATATTAGTGCTATATGAAGGACCTGGATGGTCTCTACAACTATAAAACTTGCTTAACATTGCTTATCCAGTATTTCCCAGACTTTGTCAGCCAGTGCCATTTTAAAAATAACACTCAGGGTTATGTACAGGTGACGGCAGAAACATGGCAGAATGAGAAACATCCCCGGATCTCTCCCCTTGAAACAACAATAAGCTGAACATCCAAAACTCAACAAAAAAACACACAAACTGCACACCAGCACGTCTGAGCATGGGATCTGCGCATAAGAGTTATCACAGGTCAGAAATCCGGGTGTCGGGCAGTGGACTGGTAGAAACAAAAAAGCTGACTCTCACAGCTGGAGCTTCCTGTAAGAGGAGGAGGAGGGGAAAAGGTGCGGAGAGTTCCCTGAAAAGCCCTGTCTGGGAGAGTTGTGAGCTCCACCCAGCCAGTGGCAGGGCCCAGTCATCAGGGCAGAAAGCAGAGAAGTGGGGATGACAGAGAAACAACAGTTGATTATTACGAGCTGCAGTAGCAAAACGTGAGGCTAGCTGCAGCCTCCATCCCCCAAAGCAGAGGGCCCCTACCCCATATCCTCCGAGACCGAACACCACGGAGCCCCAGGGGAATCGAAGCAAAAGCTACCAAAACTTTCACTAACACTGACAAAGACTGAGACTGAGGTTAGCGAGAGTGATTTAATATCTACTATAAAAAAAAGAGGCATTATTAAGACTGTATATAAAGAAGGGATCCAAGAGGCTTAGACGCTACCTACTGGAAACCAAAAGAAAAACGCCTTCTTTGCAACAGGCTAAAGAGAGACCTTTATATAATAAATCTTTCAGAAAAAAAGCAGAATACAATTCCATAAAAGCTCAGGACAGAAAACGTCCATTAAACAACATGCACAACCAAGGTGACAAGACAGCTCAGAAAGAAAGAGAAAAATCTCAAGCAAATAAGCTTAAAGACAAAGAAATAGGCGACTTAAATGACAGAGAATTCAGGATGGTACTCTGAAAAAAATCAATGAGATCCAAAACAATTCATATCAACGATTTCAGGAATAAAAAACAACTAGATGAGCAGAATGAGTTCTTTAGCAAGGAGATTGAAACCCTGAAAAAGAACCAAGTAGAACTTTGGGAGATGAAAAACACACTGAAAGAGATGAAAGATGAAACAGCAAGATGGGGAAATAGAGTCGACCAAATGGAGGAAAGCATCGGTGATATCAAAGACAGAAATCTAGAAATAAATCAGAAGGAAGAAGAGAGAAATCAAAGATTGAAAAAGAATGAAAGAGAAATACGAGAACTAGCTGATATCATCAGGAGAGGAAACAAAAATAATGGGCATTCTCGAAGCGGGGGAAAAGGAGCAGGGACTAGAAAGCATTTTCAGACAAATAGTTGACGAGAATTTTCCGAATCTAAGGAATGAGCTGCAGCTTTGAATTTATCATGTCAAAAGAATACCCAATTATCTCAACCCAAAAGGTCTTCTCCAACACACATAGTATTAAAATTATCAAAAATCGATGACAAAGAAAGAATTCTCAGGGCAGCCAGGAAAATGATGGTAACCAATAAAGGAAAACCCATTAGATTATCATCGGACTTCTCAACACAAACCTTACAAGCCAGAAAGGAGTGGAATCAAATATTAAAACTATTAAATGAAAGGAACTAATAGCCAAGAATAATGAATCCAGCAAAGCCCTCCTTTAGATATGAAGGAGAAATAAAAGACCTGTCCAGACATACAAAAATTGAGGGAGTTTTCCACTACGAGGCCTGCACTACAGGATATAGCGAAAGGGGTCAGCTCACCTAAAATAAAATGACAAAAAAATAAATACATAACTAGGAGTAAGGCAACTAGCAGGCAGATAGAAGCAGAGGAGTGCAACCCTTACTAAGAACAAGGCATTATAAGCTTAAGCAATAATAGATTTGCTAGAGCAAGATAGTAATGAACGTTCAGCATACACAGGGACAAATTGAGACAACAATGACTTAAAAGGGGAAGGATTCAAAGATCCAAATTCACAGAGGGGAATGGAGATAAGGCACACGAAGAATAAAATGGATGTGTGTGTGTGTGTGTGTGTGTGTGTGTGTGTGTGTGTGTGTGTACATATAACTATCATCTATATATTCATAATGGTAAGTAACCACACGTCCAAGATTCAGAACTGAAGTCTAATAACATAAAACAAGAAGGACCAGAGGGAAAACTCACAAAACTCAACCGAAATGTAAAAACAATAAAGCAGACAAACAAGGTCAAGGAAGCAATGGAAACACCAAGCTACCAGAACGCAAAAGATAAAATGGTTATAGGAAGACCTCATATTTCAATAATCACTCTAAATGTAAATGGACTGAACTCACCAATAAAAAGGCACAGAG